AAGTAATGTTAGGGTAAGCTGATTGTTGAAGCAATTTACGTTTCTTTTTATAAATGAGTTTGTGGATTATATCAGGGTTGTAGCCATTGTTGAAAGCAATCTGTTTGATTATGTTTAGTTCTTGGTTGTAGTTAATTTTGGATAATGGGATGGTTTCTAAACGATGAATAAAACTGTTGAATGCAGATAATTTATGTGAAATGGGATGGTTAGAATTGAAATGTATGACATGATCTGTTTGTGTAGGTTTTCTGTAGATGCTATAATCAAAGACATTATTGATTCTATTGATGGACAGGTCCAAGAAATTAATGGAGAAGTTTGATTCTAATTCCATAGTGAATTTAATATTGGGGTGAATATTATTGATAGTATTTAGTAAGGAAGAAGCAGTATTTCAGTTACCTCTAATGAACACTAAGCAATCATCAACGTAACGGAACCAGTGTAGAATTGTATTGTTAGTCATAATTTGAGTGGATTCTAGATGATTCATGAAGAGGTCAGCTAAGAAGGGGGAAAGACAACTTCCCATGGCTAAGCCATCAGGTTGTTTATAAAAAATGTTATTGAAAGAAAAGTAATCTTGTGATAAACACAAGGAAAGTGTATCTATTATTGGTGTGATGACTGAAGGATTAATTGATTTAGATGTAAGAAGGTTGTGGACTAACTGAATAGTTTCAAGTTTAGGAACAGAAGTAAAGAGATTGTTAACGTCAAATGAAAGCATAGTCATATCTGGAAGGAGATTTATATGATTGAGTTTAGATATTAGTTCGGATGAATTTTTGATGGAAAAAGTGGGAGAAAAACCTGTTATGTCCTTGATTACTCTGAGTATGAATTTAGAAATTATGGAGACCGGGGTGTTGATGAAACTGACTACTGGACGGATTGGAATGCCCTCTTTGTGGATTTTTGGAAGACCATACAATCTAGGAATTAGTGGATTACTAGGGATTTTGTAATAAGATAATTTAATAATTTAATAATTTTTTCTTTTCCTCGACTCATCTTCCATAAATTACAATCAAACTTTTATATATAATCATTTAATACAACGAAACAATTAGGTAATAACATTCTTTTCATCCCATTTAAAATGATTTATTAATTTTAACCACTTAAATTACATAAAAAAAATTTTTCACTACCTTGGTATACCGATTTATTTTGCATCGCAGTTACGCATTGATTTATATTCTCCCATCAGTTTTTTAAAATACCAAAAATTGCTTATAATCCTACTACACACAAAACACATTTCTTCACTAAAAACTGCCTACTCACAAACTTAAGCACAATGACTTTGCTCCTACCACATCATTCCTCTTGACATTGAAGGGCACTAACTGATTTTTCATACCATCTTTCTATCAGTTAGCCCTAGACTCCAACACAGATCAGAGGTAATGTAAGTCAATAAAACCTCACCAACTACAGGGGGTCATATAAGATGCCCCCAGTTTCATTTTTTTATATTACACAAGTCAAGAGTCTATTGCATTTACCTGAATAAATAACATGAAGATTATTATTTTTTAAATCCAGATGTCAACCGAATGTTTTTTATGTGGCCACACAATGTTTTTTAACAACCTTTTTTATGTAAGTAGTAAAAAACCAACTTTTTCTTTTTGTATGTTCAAATTTTAACTTTGTTGTTTTTAATATTGCTATTTTTACTCTCTCTTTTAGTAAACTGATGATGGAATGATACAATTCCGAAAAGATCTTCTTTATAATAAAAAATTTTAAGCTTTTAATAAGCGCTTTTTTTATACCTTAATGCACATGAACACCACGTGCTTTGTATTCAACAGGTATACTAGCCACTCCTGGATATCTCCACTTCATGGTTTGTTCCAGTTTCACTTTTAAATATTGTAAATAAGTTCTCTTTTCCTATGGTCAATCCTGCTGTCATTCATTTATTCTAAAAGGCTCTCTATTTTGGTCGTGTCTAACGCTTTATGAAAATATATGAAAATGAGGACAATAGGTTTGTCCTCACTTTGTTTGTCCTTCACTACTGTATGGAGTTGATCATTGGTACCATAATTTGAACGGAATCCGGCCTGCTCTTTCGCTTAGTAGAAATTTAATTGTTTCTCCAATCTTAATGTCACTAACCTAGTAAAGAGCTTGTATATGTTGTTCAACATGCTAATGGGTATATAATGTTCTAGGTCCGTTCTCTCTCCTTTTTTATGCCAAAGGATGGTTTTAGCATTGTTCCATTCTTTAGGTACCTCTCTTTGCTGCAAACATAGATTAAACAGTTTCCTTAATTTATTTAATAGCATATCTGCTCCATTTACGATAGCTTCTATACAATTCATAATTCCATCCTCTCCTGGGGCTTTGTTATTTTTCATTTTTCTTAATGCTTGTCAAATCTCGTCTCGTCGAATATCTTAATCTCTGGCATTAGTTCGGAACCTTGGTTCATGATCTTCTTTGAAATGGTTATTTGTATTTCTGTTTGATCTTCTCGTCTACTTTTATATAATTACTCATAAAACTCTTCGACGATCTTTATTCACTCGTCTCTACGTGATATTATTTCACTATATACTTCACTACACATTATTTTGCTTGTTTCTTAATTTATGAATTTCGCATTCTACGTAGAACTTTTACGCTGTTATTTTCTTCTATAGTGCGTTTAATATTATGGTTTTTTTTATTGAAAAAGTTTTCCGCATCCACCATAAGATAATTAGGGACAGTACAGTGTAGGTGTACAATTCTAATAGTTTAAATTTTATAATATAATATACATTTTAAATATTTTTCCAAATCAACATAATTAAAGTTTGTACCTAAGAGTTTATTGATATTATTTGGAATATTGAACCTGTTGCGTTTATTTACAAAAAGTGGACAGTCAATTAAAAAATGTTTAACGCTGATTGTTTCGTCACTAATGTCACATTTAGGGGGATTATCTCTGGTAAACAGATACGAATGCGTATTGTATCTTGTATAGCCTAAACGTAAACGAGTAATGATGGTTTGCAGTTTTCGACGCTCCGTTACATCTGTACTCGTAATAAGTAAACAACAGAATATAAAACCGTCTATATATGTAAAAAATACCAAACTTGAGCAAGTTGATAAAATCGTCTACCTTGGACAGCAATTAAATTGTAATGCAGAAAATCACGGCGAAATTAGATCCAGAATAGAGCAGGCTAGAGCTGCTTTTAGAAGGATGTCCAAGGTGTTATGTAACAGAGACCTAAAATTGGCATTAAGGATCCGCCTACTTCGCTGCTACGTGTTCTCGGTCTTACTTTATGCTGTCGAGTCCTGGACTGTGAATAAAATCGATCTAAATCGCCTTGAGGCTTTCGAAATGTGGTGCTATAGAAGAATTTTAAAAGTTTCCTGGGTGGAGAAGATTCGTAACTCCACATTACTAGAACGTCTCAGCAAGACTGCTGAGATCATAAAAAGCATCAAGGAGTGAAAGCTGGAATATTTCGGACATGTAATGAGAGGTCCCAAATATAGATTGCTACAAAATATCATGCAAGGAAAAATAGCAGGCAAACGCAGTCCAGGACGAAGAAGAACCTCATGGTTGAAGAACTTGCGAGATTGGTATGGTGTAGATACAAGCATGCTATTTAGGGTGACAGTGAATAAAATTAAAATAGCTATGATGGTAACCAACGTTCTAAAAGGACATGGTACATGAAGAAGATGAAGTTACATCTGTTTCGACACTTTCCGACAATTTACTCGCGCACTGGTCTGCAGCTTCGTTTCCATCAATACCAATATGAGATAGGATCCATATGAAGGTAATGCGTCTGGAATTTTCTTCAGCTTGCTTTAGTTAGAATTTTACCATTTTTTCTAGTTAGCTTTCAGGATACATATGATTTAAGGTTTGTAAAACACCAAGAGGATCACTTAAAATCAAGCATTTTGGTATTTTATTATTGTTGATATGTTCAAGAGCGTTGAGTATTGGATAAAGTTTAGCAGAGAAGATGCTGAACTATTTGGGCAGTCTGAATTAAAATTGATTGTTAGACGTTATAAATGCAGCACCAACTCCGGTGTTTTCGTGGATGCATCTGTAAATATCCTGCAGCAATTTTGTCCATGTTTGTTTATAATTGAATTGAGGTTATTTTTAATAACAGCCGGATTTGTAGAATGCTTATTAAATACAGTAAGATTATAATTTATTTTGGGGATATTGACACACTAAGGTGGAGGATGGTTCAAATTTATTTGAAATATATCTGGAAAATCTAGGTTTAAATATCTTGGATAAAATCGAATTCTCTCATAGAAAGGTTTGTGTGAATTAGATATATTTTGAAGTGTATGTTTGTTATTGAATCTATTATCAAAAATAGGCCTTTTTGAATCAAAAATAAAAAATTTCGATTGGAATAATGTCGGGCTAATTAAAGAACCTTGAGGGGTTCCATTTTCCTCAATATGTTCTTCGGAATATGAACTTTGAACTCTGACTTGAAATGCTCGTTGTCGTAAAAAGTTTTTAATAAATTCTAGAGAGTTTCCCCGGATATTCCATGAGTACAGCTTTTTTAAAATATTATATCTCCAGCACGTGTTGAATGCTTTCTTTATATCGAAAAATATTGCTATACAGTGTTGTCGCATCGCTAGTGCTTCCTGGATATCGATTTCTTAATCTAGTATATTATCTGTGCCTGATCGATATTGTCTAAAACCATTTTGCTCATTCGTTAGTAGAGTTGAACTTTCTATTATGGGTTTTAAATTTCCATAAATCTCTCCTAATTGCCTTAAAACAGTTTTATTCATTTATCTTAGAGTGTGGCTGCCTGCATTCTTATCGCTTCTCATTTGTTTTTCTGATTCAGCAGCGTTTCAGTATACTTATGAACTAATTATATAACACCAATGTTTTATTACCTCTCCTACTGCGTACATAAAACACATCCAAAGCACATATCTATTATAAATAGAAAAATTATGTGACTTACCTATACAGGCTCTTGGTCCCTCTCCGAATGGAAAAAAGGTAAAACCATCTGCATTGAAATTGTTATTAGCAAATCTTTCCGGATTAAACTTTAGAGGATTGGGGAAATATTTGGGATCCCTAAACATAGCAAAGTAAGGAATGTACACTGCCATTCCCTTTTCAATGACAAGATCTGTACCTTCAAGACGGTAATCGGTGAGAGCCTCCCTATCAAGAACTGGTATAAGGCCATATTTTCTTAAAGTTTCTAAAACAAGATCAAGTTTTGAATATATAGTGGCTCACAGCTTAAATGATGCAGACGCTACTTATTAATACTATAAAAAAATACATACTGAAATTAAATTACTGTAAGTCTTCTAAAATAGCATAAGTTATTTTTTTGGTTTCAAATATATATATATATATATATATATATATATATATATATATATATATATATAGGTTTTTTAGGCGTTACGCCCGTCCGGTAGGGATCTATGGAGGAGTATCACCGAGACGCAAGCCCTTATCTCTTGCCGTACTGCTCCACCATAGGCCGATCAGATCCCAGCATATTCTAGTCTAAGCCGCAGATTCATCTAGAATTTTAAACTGCTGCGTTAGACTTTTTGTTTTCTGTACACCGAGCTGGGGCTCGATCCCACATCCACTGAACCATTCGACAGTGAAAGCGAATGAGAGGCAGCCGCACAGCCGCTGAGCTATCTGACCGACTGGTTTCAAATATACCATACTTATATAACAATAAATATTTGGTTATTTTAGGTATGATTTTGATGCCACAGCTAAAATGATGCACACTTTAAAACAAGAAAATGAATAAAGTAAAAATTATTGCTAATATTTTGTAAATCCTCCTTCATTATGAATTACAGCTTGTAGTCGTCTAGGCGTTGATTCGGCTAACTTTCTAGTGTACTCTGGAAAAACTGTGTCCCAATTTTTACTTTTAATTCATTTCTATTTGATATTGGGACACTATTTACTTTATTTTTTAATTTTAACCACAAATTTTCAGTACCATTTAAATCTGGTGACTGGGCTGACATACACCCCCACATCATGCCCTACCTTTATCGTGAGTTACCGTAGCTTTCACATTTTTTAGTTTTAGTTCTTCATTCGGCTTTCCCCACACCGATATGTTTCCATTGGACCCAAACAAGTTTATTTTGGTTTTATCAGCAAATATTACTGAATTCTAAAAGATAATATCTTTGTTAATATGCTCCCTGGCGAACTACAATCTAAAATACGCCTGGTTCTTTGGCTAATCAAAGGTTTATTTATATCAGTTCGACCATGTAGGTTATTCTTTTGTAATAATTCTCTAATTGTTTCGGTGCTACATCTTTTTTCGAACTGTCTTTTCACCTCATCTCACAACTCTGGTGCACTATTTTAGGATTAAGTAATATTTAAGAATGTGCTGAACTGTTAATGAACATTTATTTTACTATTTTGGATATGTCTCTTGTATATCTCTGAAACCCAAAAAATAGCTTATGCTATTGTAGAAGACTTATAGTAATTTTATTTTATGCATATATATATATATATATATATATATATATATATATATATATATATATTACAATATCTGTTTGTCCTTATATATATATATATATATATATATATATATATATATATATATACACATTTTAGAATCTTGACAAAGGCAAGGGTTTCCTGCCGAAACGTTGATTGATTGCAATGGAAAATAAAATCTAATTCCAGATGTAATATATCTTTATTGAACCTATACCCAAGAAACATTAATTTTATATTAAATATTATACGGTTCAGGAAACTCAAAACTACAATATATATATATGTATATATATATATATATATATATATATATATATATATATATATATATATTGTATATATATATATTGTATATATATATATTGTATATATATATATTGTTATGATATTAAAATCAAGAAAATATCGGTTTGTTTAAAATATTTCAAAATTCAAAAACATTAAAATAATTCAGATAATTAGGATAATACCCAACAAACATTTCGAAGAAGGAAAATATTTAAATTTTTGGATTACCTGTATTAAACAAAATGTAAGCTAAGCATAAATTATTTCCTTTGTTATACTATACTTGAGTGACCCGCATAATTTTAAGTGAAATCCCAAAGACAATTGAACCGGGTTTTTCCAAATACATTAACGCAGCGATTATAGACAATAGAAGAGATTTGAAAAGATGTTTTTGTTAGTTTTTAAGAATTATAGAAAAATATTATTTGTAAATAAGTTTTAGGAAATTTTATAATTATAGGTAAAAATTTGTTTGTTATCGGAATGAAAGAATGGGGAATTGTGACGAGTTTTGATTGGCGGAGATTTAAAAAGGTGGGAGGTATGTAGGAATGAAAGTTTAGCTAGATTTCGGAGTGAAAAAAGATAGTTAGTTGGTTTCCAAGGGTGCAAGGCGAACGGCCGTTGTTCTCGGGTAGTTTCCCAGAGGTAGGAAGCAGTAGCAGTGAAAGTTTGTGAGTTTTCGTGTAGTTAGTGTATCTGACAGAAGCTGATCCAGTAAAATATTGTAAGTCATATTTTTCTACTTATATTCCAAGAGTCACTGTTCAGGCCAACGAGAGATTCAGTTTATCGTAAAGAAAAGATATTCCAAGAGTCATTTTTCACTCAGGCCAACGAGAGATTCAGTTTATTGAGAGAAGAAGAAGCTAGCATAATTTGAACGATTCGTGCATTTGAAGGAGATCATTAAGGACGAGATACTTGCAATAATTTATTGTAAGATTGCTGATTACTTAGGGAGCGGCCACGAGTAAATAGTATAGTCTACAAATAACAAGGATTTGGACCACTCATCATCAGAGAGAGATAGTTTTGTTTTCTGCAGTTTTTCTTTCATTGATAATACAATTTTTTACACTTAATTTAGAAAGGATATAAATATTTTGATTAGGAGATTTAGAGTAATACTTGGATTTTGAGATTTCAACTAATATTGTTTGTACCATTAATTTTGATTGTTCACGTACGTAGAACAAAATTTTGAGAATTATTATATGAGTTTTTGTTTATTGAAAACTTTTGAGTGTGAATTATTTCATTATTTTTATTTCAATATATAGTGTTAGATCATATGTGTTTTTTATTATTCCGGTATTCTTTGGACCTTACCTTTCACATGTAATAGCATAGATATTGAAGCACGAATTTAACCCTGAGATAAAAGAATTAAAAATTGTGATAGAGTCATAATCATATCATTTAAATAATTTTAATTAATCAAAAAAATTAATTAGCTAATTATTGCTTGGCGCACCAAGACTTTAAACATCACAATAATATATATATTCATAAAAATGAGGGATATAATTGTGGGTAAACAACTGATAGACATAGTATACTCTTGTTACTATATCCTATATATTTCGCCTATTTATTAGGTATAATCAGGGAAAGCTACAATTATGGTCATTATGTATCTCTTATATATATAATGAATTAGTTTTTTTACTTACTAAGATGTTTATCAAGATATTTGAATTGAAGCAATTATACATAACCATAAATAAAAACTAAAACTAAGGCACAGAAATTACACATATTTGATGTACACAATTAACCAAGCATTTAGCGTTTGATTCAGTTAACATAGTGACCTTTTTAAAACATATAATGTCAGATTGGAAGATAAATATTCACCTTCAAACACCTGGTGAAAACAATATCGAAACAGAAAATATTGCAATCATCGGGGACTACTTTAAGGAGATTCGTTGAGTCCACTATGGTTTGAATCTTATGATCCCCTATCCCAGTTACCGAACTTAACTAACACAGCTTTAAGCATAAAAAATAACACTACTACTGTGGTAAAACTTAATCATATATTTTATATGGATAATTTAAAACTATTGGCTTCCACTTGAAGCCGCCTGGATCAGACGCTCAAAACAGTAGAAAATTTCTCTAATAATACTAGTATTCACTTCGGTTTTGACAAGTGCCGTGTCTTAAAGATAATTGAATGAGTGGTTCAGCCCGGCGGATTCAATATGCAAAATGGTAAGAACATCGAAGCCATGGGTGACAATGCTACTTATAAATACCTCGGAATACAGCTTGCGCCGAAGCTTGACCATAAGCAAATGAAAACAAAGAAAACTACTGAGTTTATATATATATATATATATATATATATATATATATATAAATATATATATATCCGGTTTTTTAGGCGTTACGCCTGTCCGGTAGGGATCTATGGAGGAGTATCACCAAGCCGCAAGCCCTTATCTCTTGCCGTACTGCTCCACCATAGGCCAATCAGATCCCAGCATATCCTAGTCTAAGCCGCAGATTCATCTAGAATTTTAAACTGCTGCGTTAGACTTTTTGTTTTCTGTACACCGAGCTTGGGCTCGATCCCACATCGCACTAAACCATTCGACAGTGAAGTGAATGAGAGGCAGCCGCACAGCCCGCTGAGCTATCTGACCGACACTACTGAGTTTATACCGAGGGTAAAACAGCTGCTTCGTTTAGAGCTGAATAGCAAAAATTTGTTTAAGGCACTAAACACCTACGTATGTTGCGATTTTAGCTACCTATCTCATATTGTTAAGTGGACAAAAACGGAAATAGAAAATCTTAGTGAAACCTTAGAAATAGTGAAAAGTACGAACACACCTCACAAAGGCACAAAAACACCATCAACAAAGTGCAGTTAAAAGAACGACATTAATCAGGTATTTAGGAGGAAGAGGACTTATGGATATAAGTGAGCATTTATAAAAACAGATAAGTTAAAAACTTATTTTCGGCTGCAGGTTCAGACATCTACTCTACACCGAGAAATTTGCACATTAGATGACACAACACCGATCAAACTGAGCGAACCAGAAATGCGCATAAACTATCTTACTAAGGATGAACAAATGCACACCTGGATAAGTAAATCTCTGCATGGACGACATTTCAATAAAGTCAGTCAAGACTATCTCGAAAATATAGCGTCGAACTATTGGCTGACATCAGGAAAGATGTTCCCTGAAACGAAGGTTCATTACTTGCCATTCAGGTTCAGGTTACACCAACAATAAATTACCTTAAATATATCATCAAAGACCCTCAACTCCAAAACGACAGATGCCGATATAGACTTCAAGCCCAAGAAACCATCCAGCATCTTACTGTGGGTGCGAGGCGTTTGCTGCAACTGAATACAAAGAACGGAATGATTCAGTAGAGAAAATCCTTCATCAAGAAGTAGCTATTACACTGGACTTATTCAAACAAACCATTCATCTCCCATAGTATCAATATCAATACGTCCCAGAGGGTATGCTTAAAAATGACAACTTCAAGCTAAAGTGTGGCAGCGCTGTGCTTACAAATCAAACAGTAGCAAACAGTAGACCAGGTCTTGTTTTTAGAGAAACAGGGAATGTATTATCCCATTTTATTATTAAAATATATTCTAAAGCAAAATGGCTAAAATTAGTCATATATTTTTAATGTTATATTTACCATTAATTACCATATCCAAATATTTATTTTTTTGTATTCCTTCATATGTAAAACCTTCGTAAATTTTGTAATTTTCTTTAATTGAATTTCTTAATTTTTCCTGTATATCTGGATTAACTGCTAATTCATATAAAGCATAACCGATTGTAGAACTAGTTGTTTCATATCCAGCTACTAGTAAAAACATGGCATTCGATATGAACAAATACTGATCTAAAAAAATAAGGTGCATATTAGAAAAGGTAAAAATATAAGGGTTTAGGTTTGAAAAATAAAAACGTCTTTTATTATTCATTTAATAATTCGTTTAGTTAAAAAAATAATAAATCAAATAAGGAAACCGTAATTTTTATACCTATGGGAGCAAAAAAGTATGCCAATTTTAAATTTAAGTAAAGTTAATTTTAAATATTTTTTTACACTGATTGTTTTTAAAAAAGGTTGTTAACTACATTATGTGCAATTTCATTGTAATTTTTATTTTTTACTACAATGTAATGGATACAGGCAATTTGCTTATTTATTTTTCGGCTATATAAGGACTTAGGTCATCTTCGTTCAACAAATCACTTCAAAAAACCGCATTTATAATTAACTTTATTAATAAACAAGAGTACATTTGAACAGAAAGATTTGAAATAAATTGAAGCTGGTCAGTTTTTCTTGATTTACTAAAATTTTAATTGTAAGACAAGTTTTGTTTTTTAAATAAACGCTTCATTTATAAAATGTAGATTTTTGTAAAAAATTCTTTTAAAAATATATGTTTATTTGAGCCATCTACAATATATTATTGCTACATGGCACATACTCACCAGGAAAATCTCCATTGTGCTTTTTTTGCAACTGGTTCACTACATCAACCGCATTGACAGGTTTGCCATCAAATTCCTTTCTACATTCCATGGCTTCCAAAAATGTTTCATGAAAGTATTTTATGACCGAATTTTCAAGGAAGTTCAATTTGAATAATTTTATTATACTTGGTTTTAAAAAATAGAAGGTTTGTATAAATCCGTTTCTCACACTAAATTGGAATATTCGATGAACACAGTATCTAAACTTTGACATGTCTGATTCAAAACAACGAGGATCAGTAGCAAAAAAACATCGGGCTATCATTTCAGTGGTAAAATGGCCCGCTATATATTTAGCATCAACGGGATCAGAAATATTTTCTAAATGTTCAATAAACTTCTCATTGATTAATTCAATATTTGAAAAAAATGTTTTTGTCATTGAAGAAGTAAAAAATGAAGTCAACTTAGTCCTCGTAAGCTTCCAGTTTGGGTTTTTTTGCAAAAATACAAAGTTGCCTATAGTTTTATCATGGCTACCATCTGCAATACTTCTGTCACAAAACTTATTAAAATCTTTAATCAATATGTCTTTTATTAATTTGGGAGACTTTATGACCAAGATTGGTTTGTCAAAAACAAAAATTCCAAAATACGGTTCGTCAGTTTCATCGTAAAGCTTTTTTATCTGTTCAGATAAGTTTCGTTTAAAAGTAACAATGTCATAAACGTTGCCAAAAAATGGAATTGGTTTTGTGTGATGTACTCCTCGTTTCTTCCAGTAATCAAATTTTCTAGTAAAATATTTGTATAGAATAAAAAATATAGTACTGCAAAATATTACAAAGTTTAATGCCCATGCCGAAGTCAGGAAAGACATCTATCTGTAACAAAAATTGATTATTTATAATATTAAAACAGCAACAGAAAGAAAAAATATATAAAGTGGTAATAAAGTGGAACTATCAGTGTTATAAAGTTCACTGTTATAAAGTTTATAAAATCAAGCGAAATTAGCTGGAGTTAAAGCTAAAATAGGAGCATTACAATTTGTCCTAAAACTAAAGATAATATATTTAAACTTTGATTTACATTATAAAAAGTTACTGGTCCCTAAAATTCTTCCCTCTTATGTCTACATGTACTTTTCAATTCACTAGATATCTAAGTAATTTTTACTAAAATTAGGTATTATTTTGCCTGTATTAAACTTTAATTAAAAACTTTAATCTCTATGTTCTATTTTTCTTATATTATCGCAGTGTTAGGATATCATCATAATTTTTATATTCGAATAAAATATAGTGGTCATCTTTAGAAAAATATTAATCTGCAATCGTAAATATGCAATCTGCAATATAAAACATCCTGCTCAAATCACAGAACAATAGCTTCAATGAGTCACACACTTGTTTAAAAATAATGTACAGCAGAATTTGTAAAACTCTTAAATAAGAAATTAGTGACTTAAATAAGAAATTTGGCTTTGGAAATGGTATGCACACAAGAGATGCTTTGTTCGGCTTGTGTGTACTGGTCCAGAGCTGCACGGATATGAATCAGGACATGTACAGTCGAAAAAATGAAAAATTACCCACGCGTCATCGATGATATGCATACGAATCAAATCAAAACTTTCTATGGTCTGTTTATTAACCAGGAGGAGCAATTCAAATTTTTCGCTCCATAATGCTTGCTTGTAATTGGTCCAAGCGCAGGCAAGTTTTACTCCACTAAATTATGACATATTGACACTAATGACATTTGTGAAATTTTAAAATTCAAAAAATTTATATCGACGATTTTTTATATTTTCTGCGTTATTCGTTACAGAGCATAACTATAGATTGTTTATCTTACTGTTTATAGGATGATTGAGTTATTGTCTATATTATGAAGGTCTTACTGTAGTAATTTTTTAGGTGAAATGATTCAAAGAATGATTTATACATTGGGCTGCAGACCAAAAATAAAAGATTCTTGCTTTTATCAATCATTTAACCCTTAGTCTCCCCACGGTACTTTTAAGTACCACCAAATTCTGGTATACTTTTTCCAATGTCAGTTTGCCAAGCATCGGCTTTTGAGATTCTTTGATGCCAATGCCGACCATTGGCGTGGAAATTAAGAAAAGGGATCAGTTCATCAAACGCATATTTCAAGAAAAATCATATAATTTTTATTAATTTTTACATAATTATATTCAGGAAAATTTCTCAATTTTTGGGCAGAAATTGTTTAAACAATTTTTTAAACAAATTCAAAATATCACCTTCTGTGCTCCAAAAAATATTTTTTAGGTTTTACTCTAAATAAGATCTATGTCATTTTTCTCAAAAGTTAATAGTTTTGGAGATATACGCGATTGAAAATCCGAAAAATGCGATACCTAATATGCATCTTCGCATTATCTTAAAAAAATGTGCACTATCAACATGTATGACTGTGCAAAATTTCAAATCTGTATGTATTTTGATAGCTGATATATAGAGGTGTCTATATCTTAAATGCGACACACTGTATAATAATGAATACTAGTGTTCAAGATGCATCGCGATAGATGTAAAGAAATTAATTAGAAGGACTAAAAAGAATCGTCAGAGTCTTCTGAAGTCGAATCGTTCCCAGGTTGGATAACTATTGGTGCTATTGCCGGTAAAACAGGATATTCGTTTTCTATTTTTACAACATGAGCTTCGCAATTTTTCCACACATCGCTATTAATGCCAATAATTACTTCTCGAATATTCTCAATGGCCACTGCGCTTAATGTTGGAGACTGATTATATTTTCGCAATCGTTTTTTTACGGTACCCCAAACCATTTCAATTGGATTAAAAATGCAATAGTATGGGAGTAATCGCAAAAGAGTATGGCCGTGCCTGCTGCAAATGCTGTCAGTAACGTATTCGTTTTTAAAATTCCGACTTTTGATTATTCTAATTAATTTTTTCTTTACTGGAATCTTTTTAGGAACAGTAATGTTTTTAAGTTGCATAAATTTTAAAATTTCGTCCTTTTTCGTGTTATTATTAGGTATTTTATTTAATATGCGGGAATGATACGAAGCATTATCCATAACAATCACTGAATTCGGCGGAATATTGGGCAAGAGTTGTTCAACAAACCACTTTTCAAATAAACCGGCTGTCATATCTTCGTGATAATCGGCAGAAGAGTTTGTTATATTTTTGGCCGACAATAGCAATGCATTAGATACAAAACCATCTTTGCTTCCGGCATGAAGAATAATAACACGTTTTCCTCGTGAACACGGTGTATTTAACGCACACTTGTTTGTGTTGTCAACCCAGCCGTACTTGACATCATCATGCGTATCGAACCAGGTTTCGTCTAAATAGATTATCTTTCTGTTTGAATTACGATACTGTTTTATTTTACTCAAATACTCTCGTCGAAGTTCAACAATACGCCGAGATTCCATTATTACCATTCGATTATCTAATTTCTTATATTTAAATCCACAACTTATCAAAATCTCGCGCAGTGTTTCCAAAGATGTATAATTATATTCAGGGAAATCTCTCAATTTTTCACGAATCAGTTCTAAAGTAGGCACTCTATTTTCTTTGTAAAAATTGTAAACTGTTCGCTGAATAACGTCTTTTGCAGCAATGTCAATCCTACCCAATTTTTTATTTGGTCGCTTTCGTTTTAAGGAATGATCTGTAACAGTGCCCAATTTAATAATTGAGGGGCTCGGCAGTAAATAATGGTAACGGACAAATTTTGATTTTTCCCGAAATATTATGTAAAAGATGGCAAGGGACATGGCAACGCAGAAAACTTGACTTATTTTATCCTCCGAATAATAGGTGGCGTCAGATTAATTTCTTAAAATTTGGTAAGGGACATGCATAAGCATGAAAATAATGTTATGTGTCCATGATGGCGGAATACAAAGCAGGTTGTTCAAATCTAAATGACTTTTTTGATGTTAATAGTGACAATTCTGAGAGCTATGATGATTACGACTCAGATAAAGATCCTGAATTTCAAATATTTAGTGAAGCTAGCTCGATTAACTTTCTACAAAGAAGGTAATTTATTTATATTCTTAGAATCATTGTTTGCAAGTAAAAAATGGTAAAGGATGTACTTAACATTGTTTACATCCACATTCACTTTGCATAAAAACTTAACATTTTTTACTTGCAAATATGAAAATGAATTCTCTGCAGCACTATAATACTTAATAATATTTTTATTTATGTTTTAGAAAACTTTTGAAAGAACATGGACTTCAAGAAATTTCTTCTCACACATACCCAGAGTCCAGTACTGAAGAAGAAGAGGAGGAAGAAAAAGAAAATAGAGGAGAATTAAATGAACACAGTAAACAAGAAAAAGAATATTCTGTTTTAGACACAAAATCTAGAAAAAGGAAACGCAATTTAAGTAAGCAATTAAAAACAAAAGAGCTCAGAAATCGCGGAAAAGAATATAAACAATACAGAGGTAAGGGAAATATTGTTTTATCAAAAACACAAGGTCCACCGTGTAGTTGCCCCAATAAATGCTATGAGTTATTTGCTTCTCATGAAGAACTACAGACAATTTTTGTTAATTTTTGGGGCATGAACAGTTTTGATACACAAAATGCTTACTTACAAGGTTGTATGAGATCTAAAAATGTGACTAGGAAGAAAACTAAAGCACTAGTGTCAAAAAGATCTCAAACTATTGAATATAAATTAAAATCACAAGGGAAAGATGTTAAGATATGCAAAATGGCTTTCCTAAGTATCCATGGCTTACAGAAAAATCGAGGTCGAGTTGAAAATCTAGTAAAACAATTAAAAACTGGATCAAATACTCCAAAATCAGATCTAAGAGGTCGACATTCAAATCATCCTAAAAAATATTCCAATTCTGATATAGATTTTCTGAAATCTTTTATTGAAAGCTTACCTAAGTACAAAAGCCATTACACCCGTGCTGACAGTTCTAGACAATATATGAGTATGGAATATTCTATTCAGACTTGTTATGAGAAATATGTAGGAGAATGCATTTTGAAAAAGATAACTCCAGTTTCTGCAGATAAATTCAGAAGAATATTTACTGAAGAATATAATATAAGTTTCAAAACTCCGAAAATGGATACATGTCAAGCATGCGATAAGTTTTCAGTAGCTTTAGAAAATGCTAAGTTACACAATGATGAAACTGAGGTTAAAAAAATTAAAACTGAACAAGAATTACATCACAGAAAAGCTGAAGCAGGTCAACAGGCAGTCAGAGACGCAGTAGAGGAAGCAAACTTAAACCCAGATGTGCATGCAATTAGTTTTGATCTACAGCAAACCCTTCCCACACCAAAGCTTACCACTGGTCCCATGTTCTATAAGAGAAAATTATGGTGCTATAATTTAAGCATACATTCCCTTGGAGATGGTCAGGGTCACTTTTTTATGTGGGATGAATCCACTGCTAAAAGAGGGTCGGACGAAATAGCTAGCTGTCTCAAAATGTACTTTGAGAAAAATAATATTCATGGCAGAAAACTAATAGCTATTTCAGACAATTGCTGCGGACAAAATAAAAACTGGACCATCATTGGTCTTTGGCTATATCTTTTACAAAATGACTATTTTAAAGAAATAGTTCATATATTTCCTCAGGTAGGACATACAATGTTGCCAAGCGACAGAGACTTTTCTGTTGTAGAAAATTATGTCAAGAAAAACTGTGAAATGGTATATTCGCCCAATCACTGGGAAGATATTTTGAAGAAGTGTCAGAAAAAGAAACCTTTTCTAGTAACTAGGGTCCAGCAAGAGGATATATACGATTGTTCGGTACTGAAAAGCTATTTTAATCAACCGGTAGGTATTTTACAAAGTAGTGTGAAATTAT